TTCTATATGCTATAGCTGGATTACATGCGCTATCTATTTCTAGTGTCTTGAAGACGCTTCATGCTGATTTCTGTGGTAGCTGGACGAGTTCACATCCCCACCAGTATCCGAGGGTGTCAGGTCCCATGGCCCTGGAGCTACAGGTGGCTGAGAGTGAGTGCTGGGAAACCAACTCTGGTCCTCTGAAACATACACTCAGCCTCCAAGCCATCCTTCCAACCCCCAAGAAATTTGCATTTCTCAAATGGTTAGCAATGCAGACATTTTTCTTTTGCTAATTGGTCATTTGTAGCCCATCTTGAGAAGAGTCTGTGTGTTAGCTCATTTATCAGCTGTGCTGTTGGATTTCTTTCTATCGAATTCTAGCTGTTTCTAGGTATTCATCTGATTTCTTTCTTTTCTGAGTTCTTGGTACATCTAGATCTTAATCCTATGGCAAATGAATAACTGTGAAGGTTTTGCCCCACTCAGAAGGCTGTCTCTACTCACACAGTGATTGTTTCTTATACCGTACGGAAGCTTTTGAATTTCATGAAACCCCATCTGCTAATCGTTGGCACCGTTTCCAGAGTGACCAGAGCCCTTGCAGAAACCCCTTACCTGAATCTTGAAGTAGTTCCCTTACTTTTTCTAGTTTTAGCTCTTACATCAAGACCACGCAGTTTGAGCTGATTTCACAGACTGAGAGGCAGGGACACAGCTTCATTTTTCTACATAAGGATACCCAGCTTTCCCAGCATCACTTGCTCTCTTTTCTCTGATGTATGGGTGTTTTTTTTTTTGTTTTTGTTTTTGTTTTTGTTTTTTTTTGCTTCTTTGTCAAAAGTCACATGTGTGGGTTTGTGGGTTTGTGTTGTGGAATATTAGTTGATGATGTGTTACATTTGTTTATGCTATGAAACATTTGTTTAATGATGCAAAAATATGTTCTTTTATGTTGCATTTGTTTAACTTTGGGATGCTGTGTTACTTCACTTATCTAAAACACCTAATTGGGGAGCTGGAGAGATGGCTCAGTGGTTAAGAGCATTCCCTGCCCTTCCAAAGGTCCTGAGTTCAATTCCCAGCAACCACATGGTGACTCACAACCATCTGTAATGAGGTCTGGTGCCCTCTTCTGGCCTGCAGGCAGACAGAATACTGCATACATAATAAATAAATAAATAAATAAATAAATAAATAAATAAATATTTTTTAAAAACCCACCTAATTGGTTTAATGAAGATCTGAATGGCCAATAGCTAGGTGGGACTGCCAGGCAGAGAGAATAAATAGAAGGAGAAAAAGAGAAGAGAGTGGAGCAAGAGAAGAGGAGGAGAGAAGAGGAGGAGAGAAGAGGAGGAGAGAAGAGGAGGAGAGAAGAGGAGGAGAGAAGAGGAGGAGAGAAGAGGAGGAGAGAAGAGGAGGAGAGAAGAGGAGGAGAGAAGAGGAGGAGAGAAGAGGAGGAGAGAAGAGGCCCAGGGCCACCCAGCTACACAGCAAGCCACGGACTAAGAAGTAAAGAAAGTTATATTGAATAGAGAAAGATAAAAACCCAGAGGCAAAAGGTAGATGGAATAATTTAAGTTAAGAAAAGCTGGCTAGGGCTGGAGAGATGGCTCAGCAGTAAAGAGTACTAACCTGCTCTTCCAGAGGACCCACGTTCAATTCCTAGCACCTATAAGGCAGGTCACAGCTGTCTGTAACTGCAAGATCTGACACCCTCACACAGAGAAAACACCAATGAACATAAAATAAAAATAAATTATAAAAAATTTAAAAAGAAAATCTTGTTAGAAATAAGACAAGTTAAGGCTGGGCGTTCATAAGAAAGAATAAGTCTCTGTGTAATTATTTGGGAGCTAAGTCGTGGACCTCCCAAAGAATAAAGCAAAAAACCCCCACAGATTTGTGTCTGGGTCCTCTATTTTATTTCATTGATCTGTGTATCTGGTTTTATGTTTTTTGGGGGGTTGTGGGTTTTTATTATTGTTGTTACTATGCTTCTGTAGGATAATTTCAAATCAGGTTATTGAAACCCCCAGCACTCTTCTTTCGTTCAGAATTATTCTTTAACTCTCTGGAATCTTTTTCCTTCCATAAGAATGTTACTTTTTTCTATTTCTTTGAAGACCACTGAACTTTTGATGAAGACTGTATTGAACCTGTGAGCTGGTTTGGGGAGTATTGACATTTTCACGCCATTCATTCTCCCAGCTCGTGGATATGATCCACCCTTTCATCTTCTGGTTTCTTTAGTTTCTTTCTCTGTTTTACAGTTCTCATTGTCGAGTTCTTTCATTGGATAGCTTTATTCCAAGGCATTTCTCTCACTGACCATGGCGCTGCCTTTTCCATTAGACTGGCTGGCCAGAGAACCCCGGGATCCACCTGTCTCCCCCCAACCCCCAGTTCTGGAATTACAGACGCGCACTGCTGAGCTTGGATTTTATGTGAACACTTGTTTGGCAAGCACTTTGCTCACCCACCCTGAATCCATCTTCCCAACCTGCTTTTCACATTTTTAAGTTTGTGTGTGCACATGTGAGTGCAGTGCCTGTGGAGGCCAGAAGAGGGCACTGGATCACCCAGAGCTGGATCATAGGCTGTTGTGAGCTGCCTGGTGTGGGTGCTGGGATTCAAACTCCGCTTCTCCAGCAGAGCAATATGTGATCTTAAACCCTGAGTAGTTCTCCAACTCGTTTTCACCTTTTTCTAATGGTTGAAGAAATCAGGAAAATAATGTTCTAGTTTCACACATGAAAATTACATGTAATTCAAAATTCAGTGCTCATCAAGTTTTATGATCATAGCCTCTTGATTATAGTGGCTTTTGCCTGCATGTGGTGTCGAGCAGCTATATTGTACTCTCCTGTCTTCCAAGCCCAAGACACCCACCTACTGGCTCTCTGTATTACTGAACTTAGACTTTCTGGTTTCTGTGTTTCTTGACTGACGACCCTGCAATCCCTGGGGTGAGACCCACCCTGATCCTGTACCCTCTTCACTCCGTTCCCCACTCATGCCCAGGTCTCTTGACTCCATTCTCTTGTATACCTTAGCTCCTCCTGCTTCGTAAACACTGTCCTTATCCTTTCTTGGGGCTGGAAAGAGGGCAGAGACCTGACTTTTACAGCTATAATGAGATCAGGGTGGACTTATGACTAAAATAAGATTCTGTCCTCAGATTTGTGTGTTAACATCCCCTCTGTAGGAAGTGGGGCACTAGGTGAGACACACCCATTGCTACACAGTCCAAACACCCTCCTTTTTGAAAGTCCCCAGTGTTATAGTTTTGAAAACAGAAGGAGGGAAAGTCACACCATACAACAGGGCTCACATGGGAGGTTTATTGGAAGAGGAGAGAAAAGGGACAAAAAGGGGGACAGAGAAGGGGGCAGAAAGTGGGACAGAGATCTGTTTCTGGGGGCAAGAGTGGTGGAAGAGGAAGAGACAGGAGGTGGATAAGGCCTGCCTTTTATAAGGAAGCTTAGCTAATGTGCACGGGGTGCTCTTAGTGCCTGCAGCTGAGGGTGCATACTGTCATGACCCCAAGGGCAGGCCAGTCCAGATGCCTGAATTAACATTCCTCCTTCTTGTTTATTATAAAAAGGTGAGGAGTTAGAAAGGGGTAGCAGGGATGACGATGCCGTGTTCTCGAGACTGCTTCCTGCTGACCCGGGGTGGGGGGGCGTCGGTCACCTTTGGGGAACCTGGGATATCTGGGGTGTTGGCCATACCCTGGGGTATCTGTCTGTTTCACTTCACTGTCCAGTCTCTGTATAACAGTCAGGCACCGCGTGGACCTGGAAAAATGCTGTTTGAAGTGGGTTTAAGGCGACTCCCTGGAGCTCACGAGAACTTTGGATTTACACAGAGATAAGTTTTAGACACATTAGAAAGCAACCAAAGAGAATCTGAAACCCTGAGCTTCTGGCTGTGATACTATAGTGGTAGAGTATAATGTTTAGTGCTCCGCCAGGGCTAGACGGATAGCTTACCAGAATTCCACCAATTAATGTCAAGATTGTGAACAGTAACAGAGCGCGCGAGAGAAATCTGGAACACATTTCATTGTTTTATACATCTCAGATCGCTTTCTCTTTGTCAGCACTTAAGTTTTCCCGTCTTCACATAAACAAACCTGAACGCCCCTGGTCCTTCCCCATCCCCACAGCATCAGCTCACACCCTCTTTCCATCCGATACCAGGAGACAGGTGGTTGATGACTGAGGGCAGTCAATAGTAAAAAGTGGAACAGAACAAATTTGTGCCGCACTCATAAGGCTGTCTCCTGAGAAGACACGGAAAAGGGACGGGAAAGATCACCAGGGCCACATGGAAACAAGAGAAGGGGGCCTGTGAGCAGGGACTGAAGGAGCACAGAGGCCAGCATTGCCCTTGGCAAGCCATGGGGGCCTCTGCCCAAATGCCCAGCTCTGGGAAAAGGACCCTCTCAGGAGACCAGAAACTCCATTATAGAATATATATCTTGTTTATCAAATCTTATTTATCAAACATATGACATCACTTATTTAAGTTCTCTGGAAGCTTGGTGTTGAACACTTGGCAAAGACATAAGTACTTAGGTGTAAATCTCTAAGTCAGCTTTTGTTAATCTGAATAGACCTTAATTTTTTTTAACTTCTTTTAAAGTTTTGTTATTGCTGTTCCTATTAGCATATATGTTATACATAATACTTGGTTTATCATGACATTTACTTTTTTAAACTTTTTTCCGTTTATTTATTTATTAAAGATTTCTGTCTCTTCCCTGCCACGGCCTCTCTCTCCCCTCCCCCAATCAAGTTCCCCTCCCTTGTCAGCCCATAGAGCTATCAGGGTTCCCTGCCCTGTGGGAAGTCCAAGGACCACCCACCTCCATCCAGGTCTAGCAAGGTGAGCATCCAAACTGCCTAGGCTCCCACAAAGCCAGTACGTGCAGTAGGATCAAAAACCCATTGCCATTGTTCTTGAGTTCTCAGTAGTCCTCATTGTCCGCTATGTTCAGTGAGTCCGGTTCTATCCCAGGTTTTTTCAGACCCAGACCAGCTGGCCTTGGTGAGTTCCCAATAGAACATCCCCATTGTCTCAGTGTGTGGCATTTTCATGCATTTTTATAGTACATTTTGTTCATTTTCAGTCCTCAACACCATCTCTTATCCCTCCCCACTCTTGTTCATATCTTTCCTCTTCTCAAATAGTTTACCTCCTGAATAGATTTTTATAACCTTAAATTTTTATCACGATATATATATAGAGTATATTCTAAACCAGAGTTGAAACACATATAACTTTACATTTCTATCATCATACAAAGTCCTTACCAACCCAAAATGTTTGAGGCGTGTTGTTTTCTTAGTCTAAAAGGAGATAAAATGAACAGAGGGTTCAGGAGTTCTGAGGTGATTGATTGAGAAGGCAGAAGCTGGCCAGTGAGTCATCACCCAAAGGTCCAGGGGCCATGGCGTGCTGAGCCCCAAGAGACACGTGGGTTGCCTGATATCAGGGCTTGTTCCAGAGGTGAGAAATCATGGCAGAGAGACGAATCCTCACTCGTGGGAAATGGCCAGACAAGGGAGGCTGACCAATCACGCCCATTTTGGTTGGCGGGGCTCCGCAACCTGTTAGTTGGACAAGTGAGGCTGTCATCTGTGGACCGGGATCCGGGGTCTTGGCATGCCTCAGGCTGCCAGTGGGCAAGAGGAAGCCCAGAAGAGCCTGCCGCGGGTCCGACGCCAAGATTATAGTTTAAAAATCAGCAGGAAGGAGTAAAGCCAAACAGCAGGGCTCACAGTGGAGGTTTATTGGAAGAGGAAAGAAGGGTCAGGAAAGGGGGCAGAGAGAGTGCCAGAGACTGGTCCCTGGGGACAAGAGTGGTGGAAGAGAAGGAGTCAGGAGGTGACGAGGCTTGACTTTTATGGGGGAACATGGCTAATGTGCATGGGGGTGTTCTTAGTGGGCGCACTTGAGGAGCAGCCTGTCAGGACCCTAAGGGCTGGCCAGTGCAGATGCCTGAATATTAGCACCCGGGCCTTTATGATGGAACTACTTGATTCACGCTCACGACTTAAGAAATACGTTCTTTTTCTTTCATACTTGATTCAAGGGAGTCAAATGAGCGTGAAACTGAGGTACCCCAGTGCAGACAGAAATGTGAACCTTGGGAGAGGGCGCTGATGGCAGAAATCACCTGAAAAGGCTCAGTTCCACTGGTTAATATACAAGTTAATTAAAATGCCAATAAGAATCAAACCACACCCAATAAGAAGGGCGGCTGCTGCGATTTGGGAGCACGAGCATGTCCTGACTCTGCAAAGCATCTTAGCCACCCAGCTGCCCTCCTGCTCCTCCAGCTCCCGCTTCTGCCTCCCCACCTCCTGCCTCACCTTGGCCAGGTAGCACCTGTAGGCTTCCTGGTACTCACTGCAGTCATCACTAAGGAGCACATGGGCATGAAGGAAGAGGTCGTTGCTATGGAAAGAGCCCTCACACTCCTGTTCCAGCCCCCTCACCAGGGCCATGAGCTCTGCCAGCTGTCCCTGCTGCTCTTCCCCTGAGGCCCTGTTATTAAAGGCACAGTACCTCCTCCCACACTCGTGGACCAGGCTGCGCAGGCTGTGGTTGTCAGTGTGGGTCACAAACTCATCCAAAGTCTCATTTGCCAGGTCTTCCTTGTGGGTGAAGAGGACGATCATGTGCCTCATGACTCCTGCCCCGAAGATCTCCTTCACCCTCCTCACGGCTAGGGTGTCCTGAGCTGTGAAGCGTCCCAGCTGGGCCACCAGCAGCAGCACGTGGGGTCCTGGGGCACACAGCAGGTAACAATCTCCAATGTCCTTGTCCATGTCTTGGTTCTGGGCCTTTGACCCAAAGATGGGGGGCGTGTCTACCACTAGCAGTCTCCTTCCCTTCCATGTGCCTGTCTCTGCCTGGCTGGTCCTGGTCACTGACTGGGCTCCAAGCCTAGACTCAAATGCTTTTCTGCAGAGGATGCTGTTCCCTGTGGCGCTTTTCCCGCAGCCAGATTTACCCACCAGGAGGATCCTCAGGCAGCCCGATTCTGCTCCACAGTAGGCTTCCCCGCTCCCTGTGGACGAAAGTAGGTTTGTTCCTCACTCAGCAAGTCTTCGGGCTTTGATGTCCTGGGTCCTTGCAGGTATCTCCTGAAATCAATTGTCCTCATTCCCAGAAAAATATGTGCCATTCAAATGCTCCCAACTGTTTGCCTGTAATTTTAGGTGGTCCTGGGCTTTCATGAAGTCCCTGTTGGCAGCCCATTCTAGGACACATGGGCAGGGGGTGGTACTGCCACAGGAAGGAGAGGCTCTGTTCCATCTGGACCACAACAAATGTGCCGTTGCTGAAGAAAAGGTCCCTGTGCTCTCCCCTGGAGGATGCTCAGGGCAGCTCCCCAGAAAACTGGTTGTGAAATAAGTATGCATTAGTTAAGGAGGAGGCAGAGATGAAGTCATGGCTGACAGCCACCTCTTTTACCCACAATGCTCCAGACATACTGTGTGAATGTGCTCAGCTTATCCCCGCCCCCTCACCCAGAGGTTACTCCAGGTGGAAGAGCTGCCGTGGCTCACACTCAGAGACAGCTGGATTAGCCTAGGAAGCAAAGGGGGCACTTGGATTTGACATGGGGGACGGTGACAGTTAACACCAGGGAAATGATACGAAGTGAGCGGGTGCAGAAGGGTGGGAGAGAAGACGGTTAGAATCGGAAGCAGACATGCTAGAAAGGCCATCTATTGCTGGGCGTGGCCCAGGGCCTGTAACAAGAGGAGCAATGGAGGGACACCATGAAGAGCTCAGATCTCCAGCCTTGAAGGGATGAGGACAGGGGGCTGTCCTGTGTCCAAATGAGTTTTAAGTGCCCTGAACACTCCTAAAAGTCTGTCATTTGGGGGAAAGCTGAGGGTGGCTCAGTGGTAGAGCGCCCATCCAACATTGTAAGGCTCAGGCTCAATTCTCAGTATCACAGAAAACAAAATCGAGCTGATTCCCTTTACTCTGTGCTGGTTTTAATTTCCCTTAGTGTTATGGGGTGTTCTGTAAGACATGATCACTTTAGGGCAACTTCCTTCCTTCCTTCCTTCCTTCCGTCCGTCCGTCCTTCCTTCCTTCCTTCCTCCCTCCCTCCCTCCCTCTCTTCCTCTCTCCCTCCCTTCTTACCCCCCCCCGTCTCTCTCTCAGCTGAGAGGAGATGAGGGAGGAAAGAGAATCTCTGTCACTGTTTAGTTGCAATCCCTTCTAACCCTGAACGTGTGTCAGAATCACGTTTCACCACATCGCGTGGAGGAGAGTGTCACCGTGGAGTGTGTGTGCGCATGTGTGTGTTTGCAAGCATGTGAGTCTGTGTGCATGTGTGTCTCTGTGCGTGTGTATGTGTATGCCTGTGTGTATGTATGTGTGCATATGTGTACATGAACACAGCAGCGGCTTGGACACAGAGATCTGGAGACACGGAACAAACGGCAGTTGTCTTCTCCTTGATCTTGAGCGTCTGAACCTGTTTTGGGTCTCGGTCCCTTCAGGACCTTGGTGCTTTCTTACCTTCAACTATGGCTCCATATGTGCTCTTCCGGAGGCCTTCCATTTCTTCTGGAACCGAAACAGGAAAGAATTAAAGTCACGTCCACGTGGGAACTGGCGAGGCGCTTTGACTCAGGTAGCTCGGGGTAACTGTCCTCGCATGGCCATTTCCATGGCTAACTCTCGCACCTATGTTGACTGCAAACATCTGTAAGTAACTGGCTGGAGTGAGGCAGGGGCATCGCAGCACAGACAGTGTGCTATTGCTCCTCCTCACTCGTGGGAAAGCAGGCGTTTCCTGCAGATGAACGGATGATCTTCTCCACTGTTGGGAGCTGTGAACCCCCAGATCCTGAATTTCTGGTAAACAACTTGTAATGCTTGCAGCTGCTCTGAGCGCGAGACCCTCAGGAGTTCCTGATGGCAGGGGAGTGGTTTCTGGTGGGTTTGGCTGGGGCATCACTATCAGTTAAGGATCCCTATATAAGCTGGCCCTGGACACAATAAAGGGGACATTCTGGCCTCGAGGATGACCCGTGTCTCTGTCTGTGAGTGTTTGTGTGTTTCAATCTCCAGGCCCTTGCCCGGCTCGCGAATGGTCCTGTAGTGCGGTGCCTTAAGACAGGTGTAGGGTTTCTACACTCCACCAAGCTGGAAGTATAAAATATGTGGAGCATTCTGTTATGGGCAAGAACTAGACTTAAAAAAAAAAACTGAACCAAAGTAGACGAACCTGCCAGGATAGAGAAAATAATTGCTGTGCTGTGAATAACACTGGTTTGTTTGAAGTATCGGGCATTTCCAGCATGGGAAAATGTTCCAGAGGCAAAGAGACAAATACAACAGGCTCTCCCTGGGAGGATGGCGACTCCTCCAAGAACTGACCCGAGAGGAAGGAGGGCAGGAGGATTGGCAAGGCTGCCCAGAGTCACACATTTGCCTTATAGCTAACTCTCCCCAAATAGCTCTTTTTTGCCTGTGTCTCTTGGACTTCTCACCCAATGGGTAGTTGAGGGAGATAATCCCTAATAAATCAATAAGCCTGCTGTCCTGGACCCACCTGGGGTGTCTGCTCTGTTTTGAAGGATTTCGTTAGAACCTGGCTTGTGTGCAGTGTGGCTGTCACAACCCAACTCAGCAACATTAGTGGGGAAGCTTCTGAATCAGATGGACTACAGGAGACATATGTCCCACTAAAGGACAAAGTCGTTGCCAGATATGAGCCAATGCCCAGAGATGAGACAGGGCACATGAGAAGGAGACACTGAAATGGTCACACAGGAGAAGAGACTGACAACAGCCTAGGAAAAGGGAGAGGAGGGGCGTGTGAGGGACAGGAACTGATGCTGTGGCTGTCAGCCTGCAGACACACAACAGTGGGGTGATCGAGAATGGACATAGATTTCTGCTCCAAAAGGAAAATTCTGCCAATTTCAGAGGTGGGTGCAGAGGCCACGGGAGATTGGCAGGCAGCGTGTGAGCGGCAGTGGGTGACCAGGGGGCAGGTGTCACTCGGGGAGCAGGCAGAAGCTAACACACGAAATGAACATTCTTGTCTGAAGCCAGCTGAGCTGATTCACCAGGATGCTTTATTTTACCCCGCAGTGAGAACACAGCTCAGGGAGCCACTTTCTGAGAGACGGTCTTTCTGGCTTCCTGATGCGCGAGAACCAGGCTGGCAGCTATGACACAGGGGCAGAGCAACGGCTGCACAAGCTGAGGACTTGACTCTGAGGCCCAGAACGCTAGTGAAACGCTGGAGATGCTTGCCTGCGTCCGCAATCCCAATGTCTCCCACAGCGAGGCAGCCGGTGAAGAGAGGAGACTTGGCCAGAAGCAGTCAGGCCAGCAAGCCCATGGTGTAGCAGCAACAAGAAAGATGCTGTTTGCACCAAGTAGAAGGGTAGAAGTTGCTTCGGAAAGCTGTCCTCCTACCTCTACAAGAGTCCCGTAGCACCAGTGTGTGCTGTACTCTCTGACACAACTAAATTAAACAAAAACATCTTCAGTGACATCTGCTCCACCCATCGGCCTCTCCCCTCGCCTTTATATCCAGGTCCTGGAGACACAGAGCAGGTTGGTGACCAAGAGTCCAGGAAAACCACCCTCTCCCATAAGATTCAGCTAACAAGGAGAGCACTCACAGGAGTCTTGAACTCACGGCTGTTGGCCTGCCACAGTGTCTTGGGCTGTGTTATAGGAAAGGTGTGGGCTACGCAGACTGGAAAGAATAGGGTGGTTTCAGAATGAGGTCAGGAGATAGAATTCACTGATGGCCTTCTAGGGGAGGACTGGATCATGATGGAGGGAACACGGAGATTCCACCCTGGTCTGTAGAGCCTTAAGGCCCCATGCTGATCTCTTAGGGGTGAAGCCTGTCTGACCTGAGTGGGCTTTGAGGAGTTTGGGGTAAAAATGGGGAAGAGTTCGCCACCTGCTGGGGGTCTTGGGAAAACCTGGGCGCTAGGACTTTAAGTTTCCCACCTGCCGAAGAGGAAGGAACATTGGTTCAGCTTTGTTAAACCGAGGGTTTCAGAAAGGCACAGGCAATGGGGCGGAAAGTCCCAGCATCCCCATGGGTCTGGGGATGATGACATGGAAATTTCAGGGCCCTCCCCCACCATGTGCTGTCGCTGATGCTCACTTCACTGTCCAGGGGACCCAAAGTACCAGAGCTCGCCTGAGGGCCCGCTAAAGAGGAGCAGAACAGGTCCCCGTTGGTCCTCCCGGCCCCCAAGTGGCTGCCAGAGCCTCCTCCTTACCCGGGCCAGCAGGGCTCAGCCTCCAGTCACCAGCGTGAGTCACTTGCAGGCAGGCAGAGGACCTGTGTCTGCTGGATGATGCTCTCACAGAAAGGCCACTTGCAGAGCCGTAACTCCAGAGTCAGGAAAAGAAGGACAAACACGGTGACGCAGCACATGCCACTGCCCCGCAGGCTCTTCCCTAAAGTCGGGGAAAAGGCCTTGAACGCTGACCTGAAATCCGCCAGAACACAGCAGAGCTGCCGTGGTAAATGGCCGCTTCCTGTGGAAAGCTGACAGGCCGCCCTGCCCTACTCATTTCCTTTTCAGAAAGGTCTGAGCACACAAAGCACTGGGAGTCAGATGCTGGGCGGTGGAGGACAGCCCCATCCCCCAGGTTCCAGAAAGCCCTCTGAAGACTGGAAAGTGCTGGGCCCTGGATTCCCCCTGTTAGCACCAAAGGTGAGCATCTCCTCACCCCCAAGACCCTGGGCCCCACGTGACCACTTTGTCTTTAGACGGGTCCCCTAAACGGGGGCAGAAAAGCACTGCTGGTCCCAGAGGGCCTGGACATCCCCCTCAAAGAGCATCTGACCTCAGTCATGAGACTGGGCGCTGACTGCCTCTTCTCTGCTGTGTGGAGCATTTCTTTACCTGACTGCACCTGTTAAGTATTGAACCTTGAGCATAAAACCCAGCTCTGGCTTATGCAGGTGGTTCTCATCTCAGAATTCCCCCATGATTCTTTCTGTTGACAGGAAGTGTGCTTGGCTTTAGATTATGGATACTAGGATTTCAGGGGAGCTGAGGAGGTGACATGCTAAGAGACTGCAGTGAGGTGGGGTGGTGGGGAGAGTTTAAAACCAGATAGATGCAGTCCTCTGCATCCATTTTCAAAAGGAGACATAACTCAAGCTGAGCATGGTGGCTTTTTCTTATCATTGTTTGTCAGGGAGCTGAAGCAGGAGGATTGCCTTGAGTTAGAAGGCAGCCTAGGCCACGGAGTGAGACAGTCTAATAAGAAGCCATAGCTCTTCCTCCAGAGGATGTGATAGCCCCGTTATTAGTGTCATTGTCCTTTCTCCTAATTGGTAGTGACCAGCTGTGTCTTTAGCCAGAGGGAAATGAGCTCCCCATGTCCTTCGGGCAAGAGGAAGGTCTGCAATGGGAGGAGAGGGCTTCAACCTAAGTTAGAGCCCGTGTCCCTGAGGAGCAGGGTCTGACCTTCCCTGATGTTTGCATTCCACCAGCTCCTTCTGCTCTTCACCTGGAGAGGAAAAAAGGATTTAAAAAGATAAACATCTCAAAGCAAAGGGGGATAGGAAGGACAAAGGGGTCTAAGGACTTACGTTGTTTTTTTTTTTTTTTTTAGAAAGAAAGAGAGAGAAAGAGGAAAAGAGAAGGAAGGAAGGAAAAGAGAAAAACTTCTAAGGGATGGTTCTGCTCCTGTTAGAGTTTATTCCATTTTGATTTTTATTCACCCCTCGGCTTTTATATTTTCACACAATTTCAACCTAGCAGACAGCACTGGAGTGAATTCGGTTCGGTTTGTTAGGGCAGGGTGGGAGGTGGGGAGGAAATCAACAGACCCTGATCCCTCCTGGTTCGGTTTGTTAGGGCAGGGTGGGAGGTGGGGAGGAAATCAACAGACCCTGATCCCTCCTGGTTCGGTTTGTTAGGGCAGGGTGGGAGGTGGGGAGGAAATCAACAGACCGTGATCCCTCCTGGTTTGGTTTATTAGGGCAGGGTGGGAAGTGGGGAGAAATCAACAGACCCTGATCCATCCTGGAGTTGTAACTCCAGACAAAGCCAGAATCTCTCAGAAACCTGTCAAGAGTTCACACATTAACACCTCCCCCCAACTAGAAATTGAACGCAGGGCCCTGAGCTAGGAACACCCGATCCTCCTGCCTCTGCCTCCTGAGTGGCAGGCATGTGCCATCAAGCCCATCGTGAAATAATCCCTTTGTTTAAAGAAAAAAAATGAAAAAATTTTGATAGCTTCCAAACTCGATATCTGTTTTCACAGAGAAACAAACTAAGCCCAAAGAAGCCACGTGCCTGTGTTCTCTAGAAAGCAGGCAGTGACCCTTCTGTCCTCGTGACTGTTATTTAGGGAGCCAGTTTCCAGACCCTGGGCTTTGGTTTGAGCACAGGGAAGAAACTCCTGGCCGCCATCTTGTTAGAGATCTCTGTGGAAGGGAGGACAGGGGGACCCTAAGAGCCTCAGCTTCTGGGTGACTTCAGGAAAACAACTTTCTAGACACAACAGGGCAGGTGTACACGTGATCACAGAGGCTGTGGCGGCATGCCCAGCACCCGAGCAAGTGCAAGCCAGACATAAATGCCCCCTCCAACCAAGAAACTAGTCACAAATTATAACTCCTGGGGGAAGTAAAATGGATTCTCTTCAATGAAGTGACACTGGGTATATCAGCCACACCCCAGGGCAGGCCTCATGCTCAGGAGTATTGGCCAACAAATGCAGCTTTGTGCTGTTGTTAAGACATAAAACAAACAAAAAACCATGGCATTCTGAGAGGAGGGAAGTGGTGGGGACTTGGGAGGACTTGGGGAAAGTGAGAGGATATGACCCAAATTTATTATATGAAATTACCAAAGAATACGTTTTAAAAAGAAAGGAAAATGTTTGTTCTCTTTGTATTGTGATTTTGTCCCCATTTACAAGCTACCAGGAGTATTTGTTGTTTTAAGAGAAGAATGACACACAGGGATGATGAAAAGGTCTAAAGGAAAACTTTAGTTAGACAAATTTTATTTTTTTTAAACTCTGAATTATGTAGTTAAAGTTGAGACTCATCACCTCCGAAGCCTTTGCAAAGCTGATACTGTTTCCCACAGTACTGCGAGCTCTGAGCAGAGATCTAAGTATTCCTTTTTTTTTTTTTTTTGGTTTTTCGAGACAGGGTTTCTCTGTGGGTTTGGAGCCTGTCCTGGAACTAGCTCTCGTAGACCAGGCTGGTCTCGAACTCACAGAGATCCGCCTGCCTCTGCCTCCCGAGTGCTGGGATTAAAGGTGTGTGCCACCACCGCCCGGCTAAGTATTCCTTTTTTAAAATATTTTCTTCTTAGTTAAAACATCTTCTAAGACCAGCATTATCTGCTATTCTGGTCCCCAATGGTCTGAGGCGCCTTTCTGTAGACCAGCAGGTGGATCAGGAAGGCCACACCCAGGAAAATAGCCACGCCCCGTCTCCAGCTCTTCCTGTAAGATTTCTGCCAGTCCCACAGCCCAGTTAGCAGCCTGGTGCGCAGGGGCCTGTGCATGCGTCTTGCCACCATCTCTGCCACCTTGCTGACTTGGTCCTCGGGGTTAGAGCCCCACAGGGGCCTCACCAGATCATACACTTCATTGGAGTAGTACGCGCCCCCGTGCTCCCTCACCAGGCCAGCGACCAGGCCCAGCAGCTCCTCAGCTTGTGCCTCGCGCTCGCGGGCAGTGGTTTGGTTGTTTAGAGCGCACACGCGGCCCCCGCACTCAGCCACCAGCTCCCGCAGCGCGCGATTGTCTGTACATCGCACGTAATCCTGCAGAGACTCTCCTGCCAGGTCCTCCTTCCGAGTGAACACCACCACAGTCCGTGCCATCATCTGCTCCCCAAACACCCGCTTCACCCTGGCCAGCACCTTGCTGTCCTGAGTGGTGAAGCGACCCAGCTGGGTGACCAGCAGCAGCGCGTGCGGCCCGGGCGACGTCTGTAGGAAGCAGTGGGCTGTCTCCATGCACGCAGGGTCGGTCTGTTTGACCTCAGAGCTGAAAACATCCGGGGTGTCCACCACCTCAACATACCAGCCGGCCCATTTCCTGTTGGCCCAGGAGCAGGATCTGGTAACAGGCACAGCCTGCAGCTTGGATACGAAGCACGTCTGGCCCAGGATGGTGTTACCAGTGGCACTCTTGCCGGTTCCGGTTCGACCTACCAGGATGAGCCTCAGTGGGGGCCCCTTTGGGACGTGTGAATCCTCCTCCAAGCCTGAGGACCAGATAGGGCAACACTGAGTCAGAGACACGGCTTTTCCCTGGGACTTGCCTATGTTCTAAACTTCAGCCCGAAAGGGAACGAACCGCAGTGCCTACTCCCTTTGGAAGCTGGTGCGCCCATCTGCTCTGGGCTCTCAGAGCTCAGGCTCCTCCCGGTCTTTCCTCTCTGCCCTTGTATTCTCTGCACCTGTAGGTGCTCCCGCTGCCTTTCAGAAAGAGTCCATTATAACTCCTGGGTCTACCAGGATCTCTGGTCCTGCACACACAGGGCTGACTTGATGCTGATTTGACCCTAATGTTTTCCCCACAGATGCTGGTCATCAAGCACAGGGGAGCCCCTCAGCCCCAGGCACAGGTTGGATCGCAGCCCACCAAGTGCTTAGCTTGTATAAGGGCAGGAAGTGCTCAGGCTAGGGCACACCTCTCCTATGGAAGTGGAGACAATGTGGGCCTTTTCCCTGGGCTGTTAGAGAGGAGAGTTCACCCACTTCCCTCTTTCTCCTCTCTTAAGCTGGCTCCTTAAAGAGAAAGCCCAGCTTTAGATAATATTTTGTTACATTTTATCTATGGGGACCCCATATCACTGTGTCCTGTGGAGGCTAAAGGTCGAGTTTCAGGACTCAGTTCCATCCTTGCATCGGTTGGCTCAAGGGTTGAAGTCAACCCATCTGTCCTGGCTGCTTGTGCCTTTACCCAAGTCATCTCCCCGACCCCCCAAATACTAAATATGCAGTTAGCCCTCTATTCTAACACTGGAGACCTGGTGAGTGAGGCTTACTCTAGTCCTGGGTTTCCTATCCTCTGTGTCATTTTTGTGAAGACCAGAGTAGGTTTAGGATCTTCCTTCATGCTGTGGGAACCAGTGATGGGGGAGGGGGGTCAAAGCTGTGAGCTTCTCTCAGCGGGGCAGGGGCAGAGACACAGTCAAATGGGTCCTGCTGTTTCATCCCAGGGGCTCCCAGATCTGAGGAAGCTCCACCCACTTCCTACCCTTAGTGCCCACACCAGCCGGGATGCATTGAGAGAAGAGCTGTTACCATAGGTGCTTTCCTCGTCTCTTGCCATCTTCCTTCCTCCCATGCTTCTCAGGACTCTCAGTCACGATTTCCTCATTCATGCGCTCATTCCTGCAGACGGGCAAAACCAACCACAATGTCAGGCTAAGTCTAAAGAGCAGGGACACTGCAATTCAAAGCAAGGCCTTAGGGGCTAGGTGAGCAGAGACATGGTGGGTGCCTTTGTCCACCACAGGAAAATCTGCTGTTCCTTCTTATCAAGAGCATCTGGATTTTTGAAGAATAGTTTCCGGGGGGACCAGAAAGATGGTTGCAGTGCTAGCTTGACAACCTGAGCTTGCTCTCCTGAGCCCAGTAAAGATGGATGGAAGAACCAGCTCCACGAAGTTGTCTTATGAGTTTCTGAGCCCTTCTCTTTAAGCAACTTCCCTTCCACCAAAGATGTTCTGACTGCACAGTTATTTGATATAGCCAAGCATGCTCTGGTCACGTGTGCCTGGTCCCAGGAGTCCCTAAGTACAAAGCACAGTGTCCCCTCAGTCTGCTGCTCCAGCCTCATTTCCAGTGAACAGGCCTCAGTCTGTGACTGCACAGACCCCAGATTCAGACTCTCCAGCCCTCGCTGGCTTTTCTCTGGTGAGAGCTCTGCTCCCACATTCTCATCTGAGTGCTTGTCTGCATTTCTCATCATTTCAGAATCTGTCTCTTTGTCTCCACTCTAGGTGATGGGTTTCCTCCCACACTCCCCCCTGTGGGCACCACACACACGAAAAAGGAAGATGATAACTCAACACCCTGTCTCCCTAGAGGGGCTTTGGGAATAGGTTGGGTTAACACCTCTTCCCTCTCCCCAAAGCCTTTAGTAGAACTCACTGTGTGGTTCTGTGTCTCTGTTCTGGGTGCGGGAATCAGCAAATTCCCACAAATGATGCAGAAATGAAGAAGCAGCCACAAGACTGAGAGCAGCGAACAAGACTTCTGCAGGAGCTTGAAGACCTTGTCCTGGGAGAAATGAGGAAGCGTGTGCATGGACTCAGGGGAGGCCAGGGCAGGCCCTCAGGACTCCCCGGAGCTCAGAGTGGAAGCCAAAGGAAAAAAAAAAAAACAATGAATGAAATCTTGGGTGACAAATGGTTTTTATTATCTGGGAATATAAAACAAGAACAGTTCTACATGCTTAAGAGAGCTCAGGAGTTATCTAGTTTCTTTCTTGCCTTGGTGTTTCTCGGAAATATTTAGGTGTTCCCCTGGACATCGCATCTCTTGGACCCATCCTCGGTGGTTTTGCTAGAACAAGTGGATCATTCCTCATGAGGTTAATCCACACCCAGCATTTGAAAATGAGCTATTTCTCCAACTCTTCACTGTAGACATGAAAAAACTGTGAGGTCCCTATAGTTGGAGCGGGACAAACTTCAATCAGGAAGCAAAGGTTTAAATGACAGGTGGGGACAGGGCTTGATGACCAAGTTCCATTCCTCTGAGGTGTGTTAGAGCCCCTTCCCCATGCACACGCATACAGGTGTGAGATTAAGAGACTTCAGAGGGGTGCAGACTTGGCACATCAAGACTGGCCTTGAAGGCATGGTTTATAGAGACATAGAAGCATCTTCTGCGTTTGTTGAATGTGCAGTTTGAGGAATGGTATCTTCTAAACCGCGCTTTGCTCCTGGAATGGGATCTAGAATAGGTTTCTCATACCGTATGAACGAAGTTTGGGAAGAAACAAGATCTGCCCATCAAAAATCTGTGTACTCCTAAGACTTCCTCTGAACTTGCTCAAGTTGAAACCCAGACCACCCCTCAGGCGTCTGGACACCGGCTCTTGCCTGCGCTGTATGCGCTTGCAGGGTATGCTCCTGCGTAGTGCTTTGTAAAATGCAGGTGTGTAGGCAGCAGACACTTTGGTCTCACAGCCCAGCCCCCTCTCCACCCTGCTCACAGGCTCAGGCTCACCTTTCTTGGTGACAGATTTTAAAGTGGCCAAGAGAAGCCCGAGAGAACTCCTGCCTTCCCTTCAGCCATGAGTAAACAGGTCTCTTGGTCTCTCAGTGCTGAGCAGAGAGGAAGTCACTGGGCGGCCTGGGTCTCCGAGATCAGGAAACCCAGAGAAAGGCCGGATGATGACGGCTTAAAGAGACAGAAACATTTGCCATGCAGCTGTGGTCTTGGCATTTCCCTATAGAATCAAGCACTGTGACCAAGGGTGTCTGTGTCCAGTGGGGTCAGTAGCATCAAACATGCTGCCATAGCCAAAGGAGGGAAGGAAGATTTAGGACTCCAAGGTCTCACTCTGTCCTAGACTTGGTTACTGCTAATCTTCAGTTCTCTTTTGCTCTTTAAGGATTTCTCTTACTATAAATTATTTTCCAGGCTGAGACAGTAGGATGACAAATTTAAGAGCATTCTAGGGTACTTAAGAACACTCACCAGGTGTGGTGGTGCATGGCTTACTCCCAACACTTGGGAGGCAGAAGCAGGTGGATCTCTGTAATTTCGAGGCCAGCCTGGTCTACAAAGCAAGTTCCAGGACAGCCAAGGCTACTCATCTCAAAACAAGACAAAACACCAAAGACTAGGGGTGTAACTCATTGATAGAGCATTTACCTAGAATACCCAAGGTCCTGGGTTCTATGCCCAGTACTTAAGTAAACAAAAAAGAAAAATTTAAAAAATAGAATACCTAATATCACTGAGGCTGATATTGGCTATTAGTGATTAATTTTTAAATCAATGCATGCAGACTTCATTCATTCCTATTTCACTAAGTAAACACTTTTTATTCAGAGGTGTGAGCTATTTTTAAATGTGTTTTAATGGTGATTGGAATAGTTACATGATTTTTTCTTTTGATATATTAGTATTGCAAACTATGTTGTTCCTATACATGTATTTGTGTATGTATCCTTGTGTGTGCATGTATGTTTGTGTGTGTGTGTGTGCATGTGTACATGTGTGCATACGTGTAAAGATGGGGTTCCAAGGCTTATGGGCTGTTGAGGTGGGAGACAGAGCGGTGATGAAAGGAGCCACCAGGGAGTTGTCTTGAGATTTATGGCTGAGAAGGGAAGGAAAGAACAAGATTGGCCAAGGACAAGTTAGACTGAGACACAGTCACAACAAATGGTGACTCCACAAGGCACTCTACAGTTTGTACTGATCTTGAGACTGAAGAAGAGGGGACTGGATTTTATAACTCTATCATCTGGTTATTAAATGTAAACTTCCCCTGGAGGAAACGCTTAACCTAGAGGCATCTCTCTTCAGCAGATGCAACCTCTGGGCACGGGCAATAGCCAGACACTGGGGACTGCCAGCTGGCCGGTTGGAGGGAAAGCCAGTCTCTGGGCCGTTCCTATAGGTTGGACAAGCTGATATTTCTCTTATTCCACCCTTTGAGCCTGTGTCTCAGCATAGCTTTAAAGATGTCCCCAACAAATGCAGACGTGTCCAACTCTAGGGAGATTGAGGCAGGAAGTATCGTGAGTTTAAGGGCAGCCTAGGCAGCCCTGCCTCAAAATAAAAACTAAAAAGGGGTCTGGGCATATAGCACAGTGGCATAATACTTACTAACGTGTGAGGCCCTAGGTTCATCCTCACTAGAGGGGTGGGAACCTCCTCTAAGAACCTTCTTCCTGGCCCACCCTCTCCAGTCTTGCCCCTGTAACACCACACTTAGAAGGAACCTTGTCCCTGTGTCCTATAGCACCTGGCCATGTGTCCATAGAAGTCGATACATAGAAGAGAGAAGTGAGGAAGAAGGACCAGAGCAGGGCGGAAATGACTCAGCAGGGCCTCTGTGAACTTCTGATTCACAACAGTTCATCTTATTCTGGGGTGCAGAGCAATTCTGGGAAATGATTCAGACCACAGACATATTAAGATACTATTGACAACCGTCTTGTGGTTTCTTGCACAGCCCTTGTTTGTGAAGAATTTCTGCTTTATCGCGCATTCTGCGATGATAACAGTGTTCCCAGGGCTCGTGAGGCTCCGATGTTTGGCTGTGTGACTGGAGTGACAGGAGACTATGCTCTACAGTTTAGTTCAGATGATTAACTATGCATTCATGTGGCCGGTAGCTACCGTTTGAGCGGCAGTTATATTTATTTTCAGTGCTGGGGATCGAACCCTGGGCCTAGCGGATGCATGCTAGGCAAGGGCTGTAGCATTAAACAAATGTATCTCTGGCCCTCTTTTTTTTTTTTAAAGATTTAGTTATTTAGTTAGTTATTTATTATGTACACAGTGTTCAGCCTCCATGTATGCCCGCAGGCCAGAAGAGGGCACCAGCTCTCATTACGGATGTTTGTGAGCCACCATGTGGTTACTGGGAATTGAACTCAGGACCACCAGAAGAGCAGTCAGTGCTCTTAACCTCTGAGCCATCTCTCCAGCCCCTCTGGGCCTCTTTTTACCTCTCATTTGAAGACAATGTCTCACTGAGTTGCCCAGCCCAGCCTTGAATTTGCTCTGTAGCTGAGGCATGCCTTCAGCCTGCCATCTGCCTGCCTCGGCCTCTCCAGCTGACTGGCAACACAGGCCTGCATCACAGGCCTCCAGGCTTGTTAATGCAAACTTTTTAGCAAAATGATACAGAATACTGTAGGAGGGAAGAGGCGCAGGTAAAGATATGATAAAAATTGCAAAGCAAAAAGAAAAAATGGATTTAATATTTTTAAAAATCCCAAGCTGAGATGGAAAGGCATGCTGCTGACAAGTTTTCCAGGGCTCCCTTGTAAGCTTCATTAGCCTGCTGCCCCTTGGGGAGGCTTAGACTTGGCATACTTTGTGAGGATTATGAGTTAAGAGGGTGTTTAATCTGAACACACCCTGAAAATATCCAGACTCTCACAATAAGATCAGTTGCTATAAGCTGCTCTCCCCCCACCCACTCTTCCAGAAGAAATGCCACAGCAGCCCGGCTGGCGGTGCTCTCCAGAGAAGGCGGCTCTGTTGCCTGTGATGGGAAGAGGACGCAGAATGCACACAGTCATCCCCCTGCTTCCTCTGCAAAGAGTCTGCTTCATGTCAATTTGGACTAAATTTGCTTTGAATCCTGAGACTTTGCACGTTGGGAAGTAAAGCGGTTTTTCTATGAACGGACAGCTTATTGCTGGCTGTCAGAGTTTCACAGGAGAGACAGGTGCAGAGCAGAACACCCCCAGAGGCAGTTGTGAGAGCACAGTGACATCACTGAGAGGCGGGTGCTGCCAGCACAGGAAGCACAAAGATGTGTCTCTTGTGAGTTTTCCATCTGTGATGTCGGGTGTAGGTCACTGTCCTTTTCTTGAGGGTCAAGGGTCATGAGGTAAAGACAGTGGCCACTTCCTTGGATCAGTTCACGGATGAAGCTTGGGCAGGGACAGTGCCATGTCCTGCTCCAGGGTGCCATTCTCACGCTGCACAGACAGCCATCTCCTCCTCACCACAAACCTCTTTAAATGCATGCTCAGGAGTGGATGAACACATATTCGGTGGTCCTTTTTATGTGTGAGTTAGGGGCTGGAAAGATGGCTCATCAATTAAGAGCACTTGTTACTCTTGCAGAGGAGTGGGTTCATTTCCCAGCACACACATGATGGCTCAGACCTTTCAAAACTAACTATTCATAACTCAGTTCCAAGGGATCCAATGCCCTCTTCTGACCTCTACCCTCTCCTGACCTCTGCCCTCTTCTGACCTCCACCCTCTCCTGCTCTCTGCCCTATTCTGACCTCTTCCCTTTCCTGACCCCTGACCTCCATGGGCACCAGGCTTGCATGTGGTGCACATATATACATGAAGACAAAACACTCAAACACGTTTTAAAAGTCTTTATTTGTGAGTTAATGTGATGTCGTTCTTCATAAGAACACACTCTTGTATTGAGTCTATTTTCTGGATGCTTGCAGAGGTGTAGTAGAAAAGATGAAGGCATTTAAGCCATCACCCACTGCAGGCAAACTTACGAGTTTAGTGCTCATCCGATGGAGATAAGTGGTAAACTCTTAGGCTGGCATTTAATTGCTTACACTTTATAGAAACCCTTGATAATTTCCTTACACTTCATAGAAACCCTTGCTATATTGTTAGAGTTGCTTGAGACTGATTTAGAGAAGTTTGGATGGAATTATTAGGGCTTTGCAAAGGCTGGGGAATGCCATGATGGCCTCCTTTCTTGAGACTACAATGTAGGTCTTCTCAGTCTGGAGTTTTGCTATGTAGCCTTATGTTGGAAGCGTTCTGTTCAGAACAAGGGGTCCTCTAGTGTGAACTGCGGTGTAGTGGGAATGGAGCAGGTTTGGTGGGAGCCATGGATGGGTCAGGGCTTCTGTCTGCAGGGCTTGCAGACAAGTCCTTAAAGGCACATGCGAGGTGGTGCCTCTTACAGTCCCATCTGAGCATGTTCAGAGCCCCTACTTCAGCAAGTGGACATGGCAGAGCTGCTATGACGATGCAGTGGGCTTCTAAAATGATGTCTCTGTGCGTCTGTGAACTCAGGGCTCACACAGAATCCGCCTTCTTCCTGTTATTAGCCCGGTAATGAACAGAGCCGACCAACGTTGCCTTTAGACTCCTCTGACTTTGCAATGCTCTGCTGGTCTTGGGGAAGCAAACTCACCAGGAGAGGAGTGCTGCCGCCTTGGGAAGGTGTGAAGAGTCCACTCCTGTCTCCACAAGTGCACCTCGGTGCTGTGGAATAATCCTTCTGCATACATGAGTATGTATTACTCTCATTGGTTAATAAAGAACTGACTGGCTGATAGCCAGGTAGGAATTCTAGGTGAGACAACCAAACCAGGAGAATGATGGGAAGAAGGGTGGAGTCAGAGGAGACATCAGCCAGCCATGGAGGAAGCAGGGTGTGTAGAAAATGAGGTAACAAGTCATAAGTCACGTGGCAAAGCATAGATATGAAATATCTAATTTAAGTGCAAGAGTTAGCTAGTAACAAGCTTGAGCTATCAGCCAAGCAGCTGTAATTTATATTAAGTGTCTGAATCAATTATCTGGGGAATGGCTGTCCATTATTTGGGAACTGGACGGTAAGACAGAAACGTCCACCTGGACCTCTGAGAACCTAGAAACAGGTGACAGCCACAGGCTCAAACACGTCCCCTTATTTAACTGTCTCTACTCTCTGTGGTCGTTTGGACCACTCTAGCTGAGCCCCAGCAGAACTCAGTTGTACATTCTGGGCTTTGCTAGAACTCCTGATACAGAAAACCATGAATGTAATAAAGGTATTGCATGTCCTCAGATTTTCGAGTGACTTTCCATGGAGGAACAGGCGGCTCAGTTGCCTAAACTGACTTCTTCAGGGAGAACAGCTAACAACTGACGCAGGCTGACAAGTGTGGTGAGCACTGCTGCACTGCCTACAATAAAATCATTAGCAAAGGGCATCTCCCTGCTCTTGCTGATGGTAGCTTCTCTCAAACCTCTGCTCACCGTTTTATCTTTAACGATAGGTGAAATCTTCATTGTGATTTTCATACAGATTGCTCAATGTGGAAGTAGTGAGTCGTTTCAATTTGCTCAGAACAATGTCTATTGATACTCATCCTTTGCATTTTCTGACAATTTCTCACTTGCACTGTGGTTATTTTGATGTTGGTTGGTAGAGGTGCACTTTTGGCTCAAATGGTGGACAGCTTGTCTTGTCCTCTTGAATTTAGAAAACAAACTTCTAGGTTCTTCCACTGCTAGCGTATTATAACTAGTATCTAGAAGAACGTTAATAGTGGCTGTGACAGCGGCCTCCGTATCATCTTCCTGGTGTCCATGGCATGGCATCAATGTTTCTTAATAAACAAGATGGCGACTGTGGTTGAGATGGAAAACTTTGCTACAGGTAGGAGGGTAACGGTTTATCGGGGTTTTAGCCTCTTTAACTACTGTCTGGCAGCTAAAGAGGTGGTCAGTCTGCACTACTTCATGGCTCTGGAATGCTTTAAATTATATGGAAATTTTTTCAAATATTGAATCTTGTTTGCCCCCATAAGACATCTCAATCATTTAAGACTCTGCCAGATTCTGTTGGTTGTTAGTTTATTTAGTTTTTGGCAATGACATTAATAAGTGATCTTGTATAGAGCAATTCTCTATTTTTAAAAAATTCAGTTTATTATTGCTATGTGTTTGGTGTTTTGCCTGTATGTTTGTGCTCCACACACATACAGTACCCATGGAGGCCGGAAAAGGGCATCAGATCCCCAGAACTCGAATTATAAATGGTTGTGAGCTGCCATGTGGGTGCTAGGAATTGAACCTAGGGCCTTCACAAGAACATCAAGTGTTTTTAGCAGCTGAGCCATCTCTCCCATCCCCAGTTCCTCTCTCTTTGATCACCTTATTTGCATCTGAACCTGTTTTAGGAAAGTATAGATTTCATTTCATGTCTAGATATCTCAACCATGGTACTTTTCTGACTGTTCCTCCACCCTGGAGGGATTCTGCTGCCATCTTTTCAGAAAGTAAGACTTTCTTATCACAACCTCCCCCTCTGACTTTCTCGGTTAGTCGTACCATTGAAGAGACTTCACCATGGTGAATGCTATTAGGAAGAATTCTGGGGTGCTCTGGGAGTTACAGGGGCTCCATTGATGGTGGTGGCAGTAAAAACACTTGTAAGAAGAGATAATATTGTTTGAAGTGAAGCTGAAGAATTAACAGTGAGTAGGGAAAGGGATTAGATGTGTTTCTAGGAAGAAACAGAGCATAGCCCAAGAGAAGTGGCAGCAAGACACTCTCAGGTCATCAAAGGAGTTGAAGGGCAGCGAGATCTACAGGCGGATGGCAGACATGGACAGGTCCTGACATTTTTCTTATAGAAAATAAAAAATCACCTCAGGGTTCGTCATGTCCCTTCCCCTCACTATGCTTCACAGAAACTGGTTTCTGATTCTCTTACTGGGATCCTCCTCCACTTCTCGGCTTCTTTACCCACCTCCTCAGTGCATGTAAACAGGTGATTGTGGTCCAAGTGAGAAGAGGAGCCTTAGCTGAGACCTCTGAGGATGCTCAGGGACTTCTTGCCTGCTCTTTCCTCCATTCAGAAGCTCATCAACAACCACCGCTTCCTCCCCAAACATGCTATGGGAGCCCCTTCTGTTTTGACTTCTTATCCTTCCTGAGTTCAATTACATTGTATGATGAACTCTACGGTTAGGTGGTTGGCCACACGTGAAAAGTAACTGTTTCCGGTTAGATGTGTGAAGAAAACCATAAGATGGTGGCTACAAAGTCGTCATGGATGGCAGAGAACTGTTCTTTTCTGTGTGAGCAGGGAACAAAAATCCCAGCCACTCACTGGCCTCAAGGTCCTGAGTAAACATTTTCCATGAACGATGCAAAAATAAAGCTCGGGTAGGGACTGCGAGAAAATTCAAAGCAGCTGAGTAAAATGAAACCAAACTGACCAAGGCTTCAGGGACTCAAGTCCCTAAATGGTGGGCATTGCTGGCCGTCCTGCTGAGACGACCCAGGGCCTGTTACTCTGGGATACACAGCATCACGCAAAAGAGATGAAATCTGCATGCCTAACACTAAGAGCCTGGGCTTGCACACCACCTACTTAAGATGCAGGGCTCAAATAGAACACTCCAAAATAAAAACACTTGGGAGATAATTGTTTCTTTGGAAAGCGTGTAATTCTATTCTTGTGTTTCATCAACAATTACTGATGGCCTTGTTTTCATATTCTAATCAATCTTCACAAAGGACACAGAAACTGGGTAAATACTGAAAGAAAATTCTAGACACAACTGTGCCATCCCATCTGGAAGATCAAAAACCCAAATTCACAGGGCAGTGGGCACCTAACACCCTCTAGTCAAGTGGGATGTAGTATTCATTCGAGCATTGACCCTCAGACATGAGGTCCAGGGCAGTTTCTCACAGCAAGTGTGGGGAGATGCTTTCTCCTCTCTCCTTATCCTTGTGAACCAACCCCAAACTATGCTCTGTGTGGCAGTAACTCATTTCCTGTGGGGATAGAGACTCTATGGAGTTCAGATTAACCAACCCTGGGTGAGTGAGTCCGAAGAGATACAAAAGAAAGCATGGAGATGATTCCCAGGGGAGACAGTGATGTGTGGTGGTCATAGTGGTTAAGAATTTGATTCTGAAATCCAGAACAAATGTGTCTGTACTGTCCTAACACCATAGACTCTCGTTTAACAATAAAATCAGAATTACAAACTGATAAAGGACTATATTTTGGCTTTTCTGTTAGTGTGATAAACATCTCACAGAAGCAACTTAAAGGAGTGGTGTTTATTTCGGGTCATGGCTACAGAGGCATTTCAGTCCATCAGAGTGGGGAAGGCAGGGCAGGCTGGCATAGGGAGCAGTGTGGATTTCGGGCCATGGCTACAGAGGCATTTCAGTCCATCAGAGTGGGGAAGGCAGGGCAGGCATAGGGAGCTGAGTGCAGAGTGTGCGACCTGGTCTGGGAGCCTGACACTGAGTCTTCACTCTGGCTCAGTGAATTTCTGGTTCTGCTATCTTGGAAGTTTGCTGGTGGCTGAATGTTGGGGACCAAGAAGCCCCCGACCTAAAGTACTGGCCAATCTTCCTCATCCTCTCTGCAAAAACAGCCTGCTGCAAAAACAGCTTGCTGCACAAACAGCTGTGATACAGATCTCAGAACGACCTAACCACAAGGTGTCCCAAAACATGGCCTAACCACTAGATGTTTCAAGAGATATATTGCTTCCTCCCTGGCCTAGGGCGCGATAGTTTCCGCTCCCCTCTAACCCTACCCCTCCCTACCAAAACCACTCTATAAGAATAAACCCCTGCCTGCAATAAACGGAACCTAGACGCATCTCAGACTGACTCTGTCATTCTTTATACGCGCTTGGTTCCCTTTCTCTTTCCCTCCATTCCTACCCAGGTGATCCCGAACTCGAGGCCCATGAATTACGTGGCCTGCTGGACGGGTCAGCTGAAGGAATGGGACAGCAGGGAGGATGGGAGGGAGAGAGATGAAGAAATGCTTAGAATGGATGAAAAAATACACAGACTACTTACGAAAAATATGCCACACTTTCAAAAGAATTTTCTTAATTCCTTCAGCAATCTGGCTGAGTATGCTATCCTCTGCTTCTTGTCTTATCTTTTGGTCGTATTTTTCCCTAATTTCCTGTACCACCTCCTCTTTTTCCTGAGCACTGAGTTTCCCAAGAGCGCACTCTTCCTCTACTATTCTAACTTCATTCCGTTTTTGCTCGGTGTAAAGTTGCCTCAGGAGCGCTACTCGGCTCTCCAGCCTTTGCTCTGCATCCTTGTAGATGGCATCAGAGAAGTAGACGCCGCCATTGCTCTGCACCATGGCTTCGACCAGCTCCACCAGCTCCTGCACCTGCGTTTCCTGCTCAGCCTTCCCTGCTCTGTTGTTGATAGCCATGCAGCGGTTGCCACACTCCTTGATGATGCTTTTTAGGTTTGCATCTGAACTTTCTAGGAAGTCCTTTAGGCTCTGGGCCTCCAGCTCGTCTTTGCGGGTGAACAAGACAACCATGTACTTCATGGCTGCCTCCCCAAAGATAGCCTTGATCCTAATGACAGTTTCTTGCTCTTCCTCCGTGTAGCGACCCAGCTGCAGTACCAGGATGATGGCGTGAGGCCCAGGGCAGGACTTGAGAACACACTTGCTGATTTCAATGCAGGTGGTTTCCAGCTTGACCTTGGTGTCAAAGAGCCCTGGGGTGTCAACAATCAGGAGTTCTCTCTCCTTCCACTTGCGGGATGCTTTCTGACAGGTCTTAGTGACAGCATGGGGTGCAATTCTAGAATCAAATTTTCTTTGCCCCAGGATAGTGTTTGCTGTGGCACTTTTCCCACTCTCTGTCTTCCCTACCAGAACCATTCTCAGAGAGTTGTCACTGGGCTCAGCCATGATCTTCTCAGAAGGTTCTGGACTCCAGGGGTCTTGAGCACATGTCAAAGGGAATAAAGTGGTTTAGATAAACTGGAAGCCACACTGACCCTTCCGACCTTTCGATCTTTCCCATCTAGCAAAGGTTCTCATACTCAGGGGCAATAGCAGATACCTGTGGGGTTAGCAACACAAAGTGTTTGGAGTTGACTAGCTCGGGACTGTAGGTGACCATCCCACTCTAAAGAGAAAACAGAGATGCTAATGTCCGGATTTTAAATCACAAGTGTAACTGTGCAGAAATATGCCCTTTCAGGTCTGAACCACGTGGATGCAGACAGTGAGAGAGTTCAGGGAACCATGAAAGATATTGCAAATTACTTCTTAGCCTGCCCCATCAAAATGCTCAGCTTCCCATAGTGTCTCAGAACAATTTTATTAGCAATATTAAGCCTTGGGTGACTGGAGAATTCCAATGCTATTCTACTCTCCAGAACCCAGGGAAGGAAAGAGCTTCCCACATGCTTTCCAGGAGGCAAAGGAAACTCACAGGCCAAAGCTGACAATGATTGAGGGACAATGCAAGTAAATCTCACATACAATTATCGTTGCCAAATCCTAATAGAATATTAGCAAGCTAGAATCCCGTGGAATTTATAAACATGACACATTATGACAAAGTGGGGCTTTGCCTGGGCTTAAGAAGAGGAAGTTATTGCCATAACCCACAGCCAAGTTCACACTGTAGGACACTGTAAGAAATGACGCAAGCTTCCCATATGTTTATCCTTCTCTCTCTTTGTCTCTGTCTCATCCACTGAGTCCCCAAGCTAGCAAGTTAGTGGGGAAAATATTTTCTACTAAAGTCCAGTTGTTTCCACCTCACTTTCCCTAAGTATTTGAAGAATTACACAACTCAAACAAAGAGAACGAGAAACAGAGAGACAGTTCCACTATCCACTGGAAAACTGCAGATAAAATACTCTATCAAATATTAGGCTGTACCCAGCATTCTGTTCCTTGCAGGTTTATGGACCAGCATATAAAAAGTATCATTGAACAAATGCCTAAGTGATTTACAAATATAATGAATAACGATATCATTGAAAAGTGAAAAAGTTAAAGTCAACCCTGAGCACTAGAAATTATACAAATACAGTACTCAGATATGAAATTCTCAAAGAATTAAACACACATGCACATCAAAGAGTGTAGATGGTAAGACAAGAGGCTGGCAGGATACCTGGATGTCTTTCCTGATTCTGCCTGCTAAGCCAGAGCAGTAAAAGCAAGCCCATCAAAAGATCTGATCTTGGTATCTAAGGTCCACGACTTAGTGGAAGGTCCCTAGACAAGGGGTAAGTCCTGGGTATATTTCTCATCCCTACATTTAGCAGAAGTCTGGACGTACAGCAGCACATTCCATTGGTACAGTGTGGGGAGGGCAGAAACTGTCAGACAGCAGATGGGAAAGCCAAGCTACACAGCTCTGTGAAAGGCCATCACTGAAGGATTTGCCCAGGGTACCACAATATCAAATCTGAGGATGTACCCAAGGACACGCTGAGAACAATACAGACAGAAGTGTGCAGAACCTCGCTCGTGGGAGTGATAGCTATAAAAGGCAAAGCAAAGAATGATCCCATTTGCCCTGACCAGGAGACTGGTGGACTAACTCACACGCACACCGAGGACGTGCTCTGTCCCATGGGACGTCACAGAGCAACTGCCCAGGACCCGGAGGTGGGGAAATGGGCACCTCATCTTCTCTGTGCGTGTGTAGTATTCTCTCTAGTAAAGAGTTATGGGTGTGTATGCATTCTCCAAGTACAGTTCACTATGCACTGCTTCCACCCATGTGCGCACTTTGTGGGAGTCTGGATGGGAATCGATTTCTTTCCTGGTTCTATAGGTAAGAAAACTGTTGTTCCAACATGCCCAACACCTGCCCTAGTGCCCCATACTCACACTGTCCATGGCAGGCACTGAAGGCCAAGACCCTCTGACTCCATCAAACTCCCTCATAACCAGGCTCTAAGTCATTGCTTCCTGGGTCATCCTCAGGTCATGATTCTAAAGGCTGGTGGCCATCACACCAGATATGCTACCAGGAACAAGAAGGGTGAGAACAGCCCTCCCTCTAGGAAGTGGAGCTGTGCACAAGTCTAACCAAGTGAGGGCCACCCATCTCTCAGGCTTTTTTTTCATATTAACAAGCCAAACTTGGGAGACAGAAACACTCATCTCAAAACTTTCTAAAGTGCTTCTAGGAATACCCCGATAACCTGAAGCTCAGAAGTGAACAGAGAAAGTCCCTAGAAGACTACAGAGAGAGAGCAGGGCCTAGACCACTCTTGAGAATCCCTAAACCCTTTGAGATGCAGTTCCCTCCACTTGTAAAGGGACTGTGCAACCAACCCATCAGGCTGGCTCTGGGCTCCACGGGGCAAGTTCTGTAAAAGTCGCCTGCAGTGCTGAGTGTGACCACCACTCGAGATTGAGGCACTTGCTGTGTAAGGCTATTTGTATGAATAAAATTCGTGAAGGGCAGAAACCATAGCTCAGCGGCACAGCATTGGCACAGCATGTGCATGGCCCTTTGTTGGATTCCCCAGCACCATGAAAGAGGACCCAGACCGCAAACACTGCAGCTCAGAGGCTCAGTCGGAACTACAGGCACACGGGTCCTTCAGCACAGCCTGTCCTGATCTAGAGCTCACATCCTCCACCCCAGCCCCCATACTTTCAGGATCATGGCCTCTTTCCTGAGAAGCACAAGGTGGACCCAGACGTGGAGTCAGCAACAGGATTTCAATATTACCCACTTTGATGTCCCTCTGTCAGTCATTGGTGCACTGAGATTTGATGTGGGCAATTGAAGGGAGTTAGGGCACATTCACACTTGGTGACCTGCCTCCTAGTTCTGAGGATCTGCCTCAGAGGCAGCAGTGACATCTTAAGGAAAAGTGATGGGTTTTCAGACAACCGCAGCTAATGACATGGGTAGAAACCTCCTATCAAGCAAGTCTTTCTTGTTAGTCATGAGATGATGAACCACATACTAGGCAGTCTCAGCATCCTTCCAGGACCTCTCAACCTCATGCACTGAGTGCCTGGGCTGCACCATGGCCATCACACCCAGCCCCTGTCCCACGGGCTCTGTGTCCTCCATCCCATGGCTCACCTTCTCCTGCAGGACCGTTGAGTTCCCACACGTCCTCGAGGAAGCTGGCTGCACGGCCACTCCTGCTGCAGTCCTGCAAACCCTGAGCGTAGAAGCTGGAGGGGTGGGGCCAGGGCAACAGGTTTCAGTCTGAAGAACAGAGGAAACGGCTCTGTGCTGCGGTTGAACCTTCAGCTTAGGGCTAGGTGAATCTCTTCCTTTCGGACTTGCTGTGAGATCGAGTCACAGACAGTGATTATGTTGGTGGCGTTGGCTCTGAAGACCCCGTTCAGGGGTCCTCATGCAGCCTAGGACACTTTATCATCTGCTACAGGACTGCATGCTGCTCTTTGCAGAAGTGTGACCCTGATCTCCAAACCGAGAGGACTGCTAACAACTGCCAGGGCTCCCATGAGTGCCCACCAGCTCTAGCCACACTTGAGGTTCACTCTGACCTGAGCAGTAACCTCCTGAAAGGTCATCCTTCATGCTCGGGTAGCTCCTAATCAATGATTGGTCAGCATGGAGACAGAAAGGCACTTCCTTTAGTGCCCTTTGAGACAGGGCCAGAGTTTCACCTAAGCTCCTAAGCTCCAACTGAACTGACTCTCTGGGTCTTCTTGGCACTAAACACAACCCGGTGTCTTCTATTTACTTCAGTGACCTAAAGTGTTGGCCCTAGAAGCCATCATCAGTCCATTGTGCACCTACGTATCTCCATGTAACTGTCTGTTACATGTGTTAGGATGTGTACTCATCCTAGGAGCTCCAGAAAGTTCTATCTAACCATCTCATCTGAGCTGAGGGCTCAGTTTGGGGGAGGGTCCAGGCTTAACTTTTACTCAGGTTGTGGTACTTACGGCGGTCCAGGTGATGCCAGTGATTTCATCCTGCAGTGTAATTATTCTAGTCTTTTGAGAAGCTGGCTCTGTTTGTGGGTTATATAAATCTCTACGCTTGCTATCCTTGTTTATTTATGGTAGGTGTGTACCCAGAAGTAGAACAGCCAGAAGGCTGTGCGTGTGGCTGTTCCTGGATAGGAACAAAAGCTTTATTCACCCCAGATAGGGCACCAATGACAGATCACAGGAAGAATTCCAATCACAGCTCTTAGTTGTGTTCACAACTCTTAGTGAAGCAGTAAGTTTATCAGGGTCCCTTACAGGAAGATGGGCAAGGACTGACCTACAGGAGTATAGATGACTCAAAGGCAGTTGCCTCACTGAAAAAGCCCATCCCATCATGTGGAGAAACCTGCATTCCTGAGGCTCTCTGAAAAATTTTCCATCAATCCCTCAGAAAAGTTTGCTTTTTCCAGTGAGTATTGTGGCCTGCACAACCTTGAATGGACTTCCAGAAGTCTTGTTAGTTTCAGGATCTTCCTGTGTCTTGTAAGTTGTTTTGTTGTTGTTTGTTTTACTTCCTAGATCTTATCAGCATCCCTCCTCCTTCCCTATGGAAACGTTTCAATTCAGAGGAAATTGTTACATCACAGAGGTTAAAACTCTGACAAGACCAGAAGCCAGGCTAAGGGGAAAAGAAGAACTCACTCTTGTGCAAGAACTTGCTCTAGGGAGAACATTCTCAGGTCCCAAAGCTACCTTAGTACTTTCTGGGGACACACTCCCAAAGACTTAAAAATCTGCCCTGGCAGTCTGCTCCCCTCTTTTATTAACAGTTTACACACATACACCTTTTAGTTGTTCTTACCCCTCATGGTCTCTTATTCTGCTCCCTCTCTCAATGAAGCCTTCTACTTTCTCCAAGCCCCCTCTACTTTCACATCTTCTTGCTGTGTGTGATACAGAGTTTGGTTAGAGTTGCTTGAATGAGCATGGGTTATTTTAAGGAGCTTTGGTAACTTATCATTGCTATACCACTGAAGAAAATGGTACCCTCTTTTCTAGCCATCTCTTACTGCCATTAGTTCTTCAGAGAGAGGTGGGGATGAAATGTTGATGAGCACAGCCTTGTTCGTGTTCTGTGCAGTGAATTCATGAGTACAAAGGCCATATTATGTCCAAAAGCGTTTTTCCCCATCCTCTGGTACTTATATTCTTTCTGCCTCATTCCATGAGCCTTGGAAGAGACGATGTTGTTCTATTTAGGGCCACGAATTCCATTCTCGCTCATTCTTAATGACCAGCAATGAACGCACACACTAACTGCTGTCACGGAAAATAGAAACTTCTCTGACTGAGGCTGAGATAAACATGAGTATTTAGAGACAGCTGGGCAACAGGACCATTTAGGAAAACCATGGTAGAAAGCTTCCCCAAGGCCTGTGACCTTGTGTGCCACAGTTCTTGGCCAGCTAAACACTACCTGGCGTAGGTTTTCTCATATGGAGTGGGCCTCAACCCCAAGGAGAAAGCGTTTGGCGGTCCTGATAACAGTCATGCCGCTTTCACATCGGAAGGCACACATTGCCTGGCAGGTCGTTACTGTGGACTGCAGGATCCATAGTCGGCTTTGTCTCTTAAATGTACCATTACCTGTTAACACCTTCACTCCAAGGACCAAACTTCCAATGAATAAACCTTTAGGAGACATTTAAACCATATCCAAGCCTTAGAAGCATCTAAATAGATGCTCAGACTATATTTCTTCTAGTTGACCATCCACCATGAATCTTACTTGTAGATGTCCTAACATTTAATTACCTTAGCATTCTTACCTAGCAAGGAAGGGCTATTCGGTTAAAGAATTGTGCTGCTATTTATTTATCATCTTTGTGTGTGTGTGTGTGTGTGTGTGTGATGTGTGTATGTGTGGTGTGTGTGTGTTGTGTATATGTGGTGTATGATGTGTGTGTATGTGTGGTGTGTGTGTGGTGTGTATATGTGGTGTATGATGTGTGTGTATGTGTGGTGTGTGGTTGTGTATGTGTTGTGTGTATGTGTAGTGTGTTGTGGTGTGTATGTGTGGTATATGTGTGTGTGTTGTGTGTATTGTAGTGTGTGGTGTGCATATGTGTAGTGTGTGGTGTGTGTGGTGTGTATGTGCGGTGTGTGTGGTGTGTGTGGTGTGTGTGGTGTGTTCATGGTGTGTGTGGTCTGTATGTGTGTGTATGGTATGTATGTGGTGTGTATGTGTACTATGTGTGGTGTGTATGTGTGGTGTGTGTGCGTGGTATGTGTATGTGTGGTGTGTGTGTGATGTGTGTATATGTGTGTGTGGTGTGTGTATATGTGTATGTGGTGTGTATGTGGTGTGTGTGTAGTGTGTGTGTGTGGTATGTGGTGTGTGTGTACGGTGTGTGTATGTGTGGTGTGTATGTGTGTGTATGTGTGTGGTATGTGTGTGTTTGTAGTGTGTGTATGTGTGTAGAGTGTGTGTATGTGTGGTGTGTGTGTATGTGTGGTGTGTGTATGTGTAGTGTGTGTGTACATGTGTTTGGTGTGTGTATGTGTAGTGTGTATGTATATGTGTGTGTGTGATGTGATGTGTGTGTGTGTGTGTGGTGTGTGTGTGTGTATATGTGTGTCCATCAATGAGCCTGCCATTGCTGAATCAAAGCAGTTGGTGTATTTCATTGTTTAGCTTCTGCTGACCTGCATAAAGGAATCACAGCTTAATATAAAATGTTGATCAAGATCTTTTTATGAGTAGGTACTTTTCTTGATAAGCAAGATAGCAATTTTCCCATCATTAGTGAAGAGAAGTCATGAAATGCTTAAGAAACTGAAATAATTCCAGCAAGGACAAAGAACCAACATAGAGATCTCAGCCAGTCTTCTGCGTTGTAACACAAACCTGTAAGAAAGATGTCAGCCAACAGTCCCGCCCACTGCAGCCAGAAACAAACAAGCAAACAAAAATGGAATAAACACAACCAAGTTAAACTGGATCCTTGAACAGAGAGGTGAAAGACCTTGCCAAAAAAAACATTTAAGACAGTGGAGATATGAAGGAGATCCCCAAGCCCTGTGGGTGAGGGCACATGCGCACACAGAGGGGGCTTCCTCTAGGACCCTGGATTAGGTACAAATGACACCAAACACCTGCTTTCACAGAGAAATCCTTTATTAAGCAGGGAAGAAAAGTTAAAGTGACTGCTCTCAGACTCAGGCAGGAAACAGCAGCAAATGACCTTGCAGGTTCATTTTTTAAGAGGAGAAAAGGGGAGGGGTCTGTGATAGAATGGACTTGGATGTGGTGGTAAAGGAGAGAGGGGACAGGGGAGAAGGGGCAGAGGTGGGGAAGGGGCAGGGATATTTGTTCTGGAGGGACAAAGGACTGCCTCTGGACAGAGGGGAGACTACGCAGCACATAGAAAATGGCCATTTATAAAGGCAAAGGAAGAACCCCCATGTTAAGGTGTTCAGTTTTGATTGGGCATGTTAATTGGGTGAGGCAAGGGGGCTTTTGGTTGCTGGATGGACTTTAGTACTTGATAGTGGACCTTGGTAGTCAGCCTCAGGAAGAGGAAGTGGCCAAATAAGGGAATAGACCTTGGTGGCTAGCTTCAGGAATGTGGTCTACTGGTTTTCAGCAAAGCAGAAGGAATAGGAAAAAGAAGGACAGGCCTATGGGAGCCACGTGCTCAAGTGGGTTGGTGTCCCTCCAGCTGTCAGAGAGCTTGCTGAAGATGGAAAGCTCTCCCATGCGCACAGGTTGGCAGAGTTAACACTGTAAAAACTGCAACATTGTTTAAAGAAATCTACAAAAATACAATCCCCATCAAAATTCTAACCTCACTGGGTAGAGGTGTCCCTCACCTTTACTCCCAGCACTCCAGAGGCAGAACAGGTGGGTCTCTGAGTTCGAGGCCAGCCTGGTCTACAGAGCTAGTTCCAGGACAGGCTCCAAAGCTACAGAGAAACCTTGTCTCAAAAAAAAAAAAATTACCAAATGGATGGAAGGCAGTGAGAGAGCCAAAGGCTGGAAACTACAGAGAAAAGCTGGGCTCTAAGACAGTGGTGTAGCAAGAGCGTCGGGAAGGTCTCTCTCATCACAGACGCAACCCCGGGACCGGCCAGGGGATCACATGAAACACAGTCCTGCAAGTGCGAGGAGCAATTAAAAGAGTTAAGAGGCAGCGCACAGAATGGGAAATAAGGTTGAGCTGCAATCAGATGGGGTTAGTATCTAGAATAG